ACACACCAGAAGAGGGCATTGGATCCCATTACAGATGCTGTGGATCACTGTATGATTGCTGGGATTTGAACTCAGGACCTCTGGAAAAGTAGTTAGTCCTCTTAACTGCTGAGCCATCTCTCCAGCCCGGAAAGTATTTTTTTTTTTTATTAAAGATGTATTTATTTTATTGATGAGTACACTGTAGCTGTCTTCAGACACACCAGAAGAGGGCATCCAATCTCATTACGGATGGCTGTGAGCCACCATGTGGTTGCTGGGATTTGAACTCAGGACCTCTGGAAGAGTAGTCAGTGCTCTTAACCGCTGAGCCATCTCTCCAGCCCCCAGCCCGGAAAGTATTTTTAATGAGCTCAAATTTTAAATCTTTTGTCTTCATGTTACAGTTAAAGCATAATATCTAAAGTTGGTAAAACTCAGCTTAAAATGTAAACACACACACACACACACACACACACACACACACACCTCGGTTGTGGTGGCACATGCCTTTAATCTCAGCACTCAGGAAGCAGAGGTAGGTGGATCTCAAGTTTGAGGCCATCTGGGTCTACAGACTAAGTTTCAGGACAGTCAGAACTACACACTACACAGAGAAATTCTGCCTCAAAAAAACAAACCAAACCCAAACCCAACTAAACCAAACCACCACCACCACTACCCCAACAAGAACAACAAAACAAAAAACCTGTAGGAAAATAAAGCTACCAGGTATGGTGGCACACAACTTTAATCTCAGCACAGGAGGCAGAGGCTAGGGAGAACTCTGTGAGTTTGAGGCTTGCCTATGTAGTGAGTTCAGACCAGTAAGGGAAACCAAACCAAACCAACAATAACAGTAACAAGGAACCCTTGGCAACCACTAATCTATAGGATGGTGTTGGTAAATCAATTCAAGCTTTGGAAGTAGCCTTGTAGGCAATGATAAAGTGCAAGGGAGAGGAAGGCTGAGCCATTTCATTACAGCCTTTCATACTGTTTCTTTTTCCTCACATGGGCTGTAGTTCTTTAATGAAAGCAAACGCAACAAAACAGATGAGATAGATACAGTTAGGAAATAACAGAATATTTATGTGGCTTCCCCAAAATGCTATATTGTATGAAAATACATTTCACATATTTTCAATCCTCAATTAAGCCCTTAGAAAATATAGACAAAATGTCATGAGACAAGCTTGTAAAATGTGTGTAGGAGGAGCTGAGGTGGGAGGAGTAAGGAAAGGAAGAGGAAAAGGAAGAGGAGGATCGAGAGATATAGGAGGATGAAGAGCCACACAGGTATGGAGAGCAGTCCCCCGGTAAGAACTTATATTTAGGTTAGCTAATTGGGAAACACCTCTAATTGTACGGGCATATTGTTATTGAGCATTACCAAATATATAAAGCCTTTTATTAATATTTAAGCTTTAGAGTCTCATTTTCTACCAGTCCCGCATGGATGGTGGGATGGTCTGGGCACAGCCCAGCTTTGTGGAGACAGGATGGAAGATTGGCAGAGCCATCTACCATGCTGGTGTCTTGTGGGTGGCAGGGCTGGTGTCTCTGGCTGCCTGAGCCCCTGGCCTGAGCCACAGCTGCAGGGTGAACACACCACTGCTCATGACCTCAGGCCTAGCCTAGTAGGGAACATGGTGGCTCTGTAACACAAGCAAATTGGGTGCCACTGTTTTAAACACATATGCTTCTATAGAAAGCCTTTAATAGTGCCACCTTGTGGTGGCAAAATAACTATGGAAGAAAAAAATATACAAACACTTGCATGATCTAACACTTAAAATTGCTTTCTGCTGTGTAGGGACACATGCCTATAATCCCAGCAGTAAGGAGGCAGAGGAAGGAGGACTGCTTTTAAGTTAGAGACCAACTTGGTCTACATAGCAAGTCCCAGGCCAACACAGAGAATCCCTGCCTTAAAAAAAAAAAATCAAAACCAAACAAAATCATTAAGATCTAATATAGTGTCCCTGTCCACCACAATACCTGTTTCTTTTTAAACATTTATGTAAAATTAATCCATTTATTAAATGTCTTTCAAAAGCCTATGTAACTTTTAATTTCGACCCCTTATCTGTTCGCTCCCCCCACTTCCCTGTCAAGCCTAGGGCAAGTGATCTACCATTAAGCTCTTTAGTTCCCCACAGCAACATTTTAAACTAGAAATATAAATCATGTAAACGCAGCACATGATGGAGCTGGACTGACAAGAGAGTGATGTCAGCTTATGCTATCGGGTGAAGCCTTGTCTCAAAAGAACCAACAACAAAACCCAACGCAACTAGCTCCTCACTTCTTACATGTAGTTCTATTAATTTTACAAGGAAATAGGTGTGAAAACAGAGCAATCAGAATCTACCCACTCTCCCTCAAGGTTCCTATGGGTTCCTTCCAGTCACATATCCCTGCCTCCCTGATGCATGGCAGCCACTGCTCAGTGTTTTTCAGTTTTGCCTGTTCCAGATCATCATCAGAGTAGCATAGTGTGATGCTTTTGGACCCAACTTCCTACAGTCAGCATAACCTCTGTTGAAATGTACTCATGTCATATCTCGTATCCCTTTCTTCTTACAGGAGAGTGCTAGTCCATTACATTGATGCACCAACTGAATGAACTGATTCCAGTTTGGACCAATTGTGAGTAACTAAGCTCCAAGTATTCAAGTACAGTTTTGTTTTTTTGTTTTTTGTTTTTGTTTTTTTGAGACAGGGTTTCTCTGTGTAGCCCTGGCTGCCCTGGAACTCACTCTGTAGACCAGGCTGGCCTCGAACTCAGAAATCCGCCTGCCTCTGCCTCCCAAGTGCTGGGATTAAAGGCGTGCGCCACCACCGCCCGGCTAGTACAGACTTTTTATGTAGCTAAAGTCTTCACTCCACTTGAGCAACTCTTTAGGGGTAGGACTGTTTAGTTCCAAGGTAAAGTGCACATGTAACTTCCCTAGAAACTGCAATGCTTCCAAACAAGTTGGAAGTAGCATTCTATCAGGCGTTCTTAGCAGCAGCAAGCCACTTTAATGACAGAGTATCTAAACACTTTTGGACATATTTCTTGTAATTAAAGATGTTGAACATCTACAATATGAAATATTTTCTGGCTATGTTGTTTTCCCCATGAAGTTATCTGTGCAAAGTGTTGGTCATTTTAAACTTGTTTTCTAGTTGAATTTATACACTGAGATTTCACTGATTTTCTACAGCAACATTTAAAGTTTTCTCTACCTTAATTTGGAATATGAAGTTAGTCCTTGGACAAAATCTAAACATTTTCATCACTTCTATTTGACATCCACAGAAATGGCTTGTTTGAATTGCTCTGAAGTTAAGAAAGCATGGCCTGAAAGACAGAAGATGGTTTCTAAGGGCCACTGGGTTCCAGTGATAAAAGTGATCAGCTGGCGCTCCCAAGCATCATGTAAACAGTTCTGTTGTGTCACTTCAGAGCTAGGGTAAGGCTTAACACTGAACCAGCTTATAAAGAAAATTGTTGACATGGCACCACAAAATAGGACAAACTGAATCTGGAGTTTTGAGACAAAACTTGCCCCCCCCCCCCATGTGTTATAGGTCACCCCACTTCATTTCAACTTCACAATGCTATATTCAGGTACACCCTTAGTGACCCCAACTGCTCTAAAAGCTTTTCCAGTGTACTTGTCTTCATTCTTATCTCACAACCAAATGGACAAATTTACTTAAAAGAACCAAATCGATGATATCCCTTAAGATTCCTAAACCACACCTCCAATCGTGTTGCTCAGCCTGGGTCCTTCTCAATATTCTTGCTGTGTTCGATCTTCACTTTCCTCAGAGACTTCCTCATTCTGACCTTCACATCTGGGCTAAGGATCCACCCTTTCCTCCCCATATATTCACTCATTAAAAGTGTGTGTGTATGGCTGAGGGTGTGGTTAAGTGATAGAGCACTTGTTAACAGGTGGAAAGCCCCAGGTTTGCTTTGTACCCCTAAAGAGGCAAAAAAAAAAAAAGACCCCTCCCCTCAGTCAAAGCATGTTTTATGTCCCTGGCAATCGGCTACATGATTTTTGCTATTATCAGCAATATATAGACTCCAACCTCCTTACTTTTACCTTGAGACAGGACTTCATTTTGTAGCTTTGGTTAACAAACTCAGCAGATAGACCAGACTGGCCTTGAAATCAGAGCTCTGCCTGCCTCTACCTGGATTTAATTTGCTGGACTAAAGGTGTGCATACTCAAAAAAGGAAAGAAATTCTGTAAGACTTACTTCCTATTTGTGTTAGTGGGCACTGAATCTAAGGCCCTGTACATATTAAGCAATGTTCTAATCATTGAAGTACAACAATGCTATGTTTTTCTTCTTCTAAAACCTGTGCTGGAGTATGAGAGCTTTTATAAAGACCTTACACAGGAAGTGTAGGGTAGAGGTTGGGTATGATAGAGCACACCTATAATTCTAGTACTTGGGAGGTGAAGGAAGATTTTGAATTTGAGACCATTCTGAGTCATAAAGCAAAACTTTGTCTTAAAAAAAAAAGGGAGCTGGAAAAAAAACCACCAAGAGGTAGTATATTTAAGTGCTCCAGAGGCCAAGGTCAGGGTCGTGTTGATCACTTGTGCACTGCTGCCCAGGCAGACCTGTAATTATGTGGTGATGCGGTCAGTCAGCACCATCCATGAACGTCTACTACATCCTCACTCACCTTTATGATTTGGGCTCTTTGTGCAAAATCTATTACAGTGGAAAATTATTTCAATAAACAACACCTCAAAAGAGCTATGCCATTAATCTTAGAAGACACAGGTTCTGCTTCATAGTATATAAACTGGTATTTGTAAAACTCATGAGGACCCATTTCCATATCCTGTGGATACCAGTCATCCAGACTGGACATGGAGAAAAGGAACAAGCTTTCATCTATGAAGGAGTAATGGTTCTCTCCTTTCTACAGAAAGTCCCTAGATTTGAAATGAGGGAAATTTTAAAAACTCAAGTTGAAAAGACTTTTAAGTAGTCATGTGAGAAGTTGCATCATTATCACACACTTTTATTGAGTGCCCACAGAATTCAGGCACGTTCATTGTTTACAGAGCTTTGCTGATATGCTGACCTTGCCCTTAAGGAGCTTACAATCTAGCAGGAGAAAGACAAGAAACGCAGGTGTGAAAGCAATGAGTGAACAGACACTACAGACTGAAAAATCACCATCAACATAAAACACATATTGCAAAATGAGAGTTAATGGGATGGCAAGGATGGGAGATAGCCTTAGCTATCTATATTCCTGACTTCCTGAAGGTCATAGGTTTAAAATATTTGAGGGACAAGAGAGGAGTTGAGAAAAACCAGGATACTAGTGAGGTAAGTTCTCCCTTACTTCCTGCTCCCGGGGGTACACAAGGACTATAGGGATAGTGATTAAGACAGTTTGCAGTACTCTTAGCACCTCTAGCCACAGTGGATTCGGACCAGAACAAAGCCACTATTTAAATGACGATCCTCCACTGGTTCAAAGGAGAATGAAAGTTTTTTCTGCACCAGCTCTATTATGTACATAATGCCTCAGGTTATATGTTAAGACGGCCAGAGGCACCACTGTGTTAAAGAGCAGTAAGCCAGCTATGAAAATACAGATGTGGCAGAACTGCAGGAGTTAAACCTGCAATACTGGGAGGTACTAGATTTGTTGAAGACTTCACCTGTTCACAAAGGCAGCACACTGGCAAATCAAAGGGGAAAAGGCTAGAGGTAGAAGCTATCCAGAATACCCAAAAGCTACGTTTCATGCAGGGCTGAACAGAGATAAAACCCTTAATACTGTAGGAGAGGTTATCTAGAACATCCCACCAATTATGAGTCAAATTATGGAAAGTTTCCACGTTTCTTTGGAAAAAGACACTCTTTAGTTAAGTTGGAGAGTTAGTATTACCATATGCTTAAACAATAAAAAGGCAGGCTGGGGATGTAGCTCAGTGGTGTTTAGCATGCTCAGCACACACACTCTCAAACATACACACAGTAAAATGAGGAGGGCTTAGCGGACGGGGAGGCACAGTGAAGGGATTATCTGGAAGGCAAATAACCACTGATTGAACTTACCATAAACACCATGTAGATTATTAGATATTCCTAATAGTTGTTTCAAATTAGAATAGACAACAGATTGGAGGAAACCTTGGGTAAACTTAGCAACTACAGTCAGAGTTCATTTGCTACTGCTGTTGTTTGTCTCCCAAGCCTTTACCCATTTTGAAGTATTAAGGCTGACAACTTTATCAACAGTATTTACAGGTGGAGCATCTGGAATATGATAAGGTTAGACGAGGTCTCTAGTTTCCACCGTCATTAGAGCCCTATGATGCAAGGTTTGTGGGATAGGAAGACATCAGGTAAAAGAACACATATACATATTAGCACTCCACCTCTTGTCACATGATGTTCTTGATCACCAGAGGCAGCCATCACTAGATGCAGGCCCTGACCCTGGACCCAGTCCAAATCTCTTTAAAATTTGCCATGTATGGAGTATTCAATTATTAAGAGAAAGTCAAAACCAACCGAACAAAGCTATCCAGAGAAGTAGTCAAATACAGTTAGGGAAAATAGGATAAAGCTTTAAGAGACACAGAAAAGGTCATTTCTTAATAATTTTTTAGTGTGTTGTGTGTGTGTGTAAGGGATGGGGGCACACTCATGGAGGTCAGAGGCCAACTTTCAAGAGTCAGGCCTCTCCTTCCACCATGTGGTTCCAGGGACCCAATTTGCATCAGGCTCAGTGTTAACCACCTTTAGCCGGTGAGCCATCTTACAAGGCCCTAAATATCTTTACAATGATTACAACTAGAACTGATAGTTTAGAAAAACTAAGTAACTTGGAGAAGGTAATATCCTGTGAGATACCTAGGAGATGAAATTTGTGGAGAAAAGGCAAGCACAGGGCAGGGTCAGAAACCACAAGGGGCTACTGTGGCCCTGGTGGGAGGCACTTTCCTGTATACTCAGCTGGTCTCACAAAGCAGAAGCTACTAAATTAATGTCAGAAAAGAACAGCTTGACACAGACATCCAGAGCAAACCTTCTATTATTTAAAGGGCCTGCTATTTTTAGGACTATTCAAGTTAATAGAATTGCTAGGTTAAGTCTCTGAGGGTTGGCGGCGGCATGTTAATTCTATTTTTCTCATATATGACTAATGCAGTATTTAAATAATAAAACAAGTCCAGAAGATCACTACTTCTGATCACAGTGCTAGGCTTTACAGCGTCCTTTATTAAGAGTTAATGTGCACTACATAGGAAAATGCAGTGACATGGGAAGGCTGAGGCATGAAGATGGTATGAGCAGAGAAAGGAGACGAGACAGAAGCCTGTCTCAGCAACACAGTGAGTACAATTTTTATAAAAAAAAGGTTGTACCATGGCCATCAATGTGCGCTGTGATTTAATGTGGACACCTATGCAGCAACATCTATGTATTTTAAAAAACCACATATATGAATATTCATATACATGTATACATACCCCTCCTCTCATATTTCCAGTGCTAGGCTTCTCACATGCTAGACAAGTGTCATACAACTGAACTGTATCCCCAGCCCTAAAAAGAGCAGGTTTTAATAATGTGTTCTGTGGTTATTTAACAAGTTTACAAGTAAAGCATTTGAAGGCTAAATTTTAAGTCCAGATTTACTTGTGAAGTATTTGGATAATATTGAAAAGTCATCTGGATTTCTTTATATTAAATTATTGAATGATATGTAATAAAAGTAACCTCATTTAAAAAAGTGTAAGGACACTCAAATATCTAGGCCTCTAATATAGTTGGCAATAATTTAAAAATAAAATTTAAACATTAAAAAGTGTTTATTTTGCATTGGTTTACAAATTTAAATAGTTGCTCCAAACACTGCCTGACAGTGGAAGTAAACATCTAGGAATTAACCTGGTCCTTAATAATATGCGACTTTGGACAAATCCACTTTTCATTAACTCTTTAAGAGGGTTAGAATAAATCATTTCATTGTGTACTTTAGGAACTCTTAGAAATTCCAACACTACATGGAAACTTTGTACTTTGGAGGTAAGCTGAACCATAATTTTTGATGGTTTCTCACAGGTATCTTAATAAAAATTAGCTTATACTGTGCGGGGGTAATCACTTTTAAATTGTCCCAATTGTGACACTTTGTAGTTTAATGATATGTAGATTGTACAACAGCCCCCAAAAAGACCTGGTATACAAACCTTGTACAATACCTTCCGGCTAGAGGGCAGGATCTGTTAATCTGACAATATCTCTTTCATGGACCAGAATGTATCAAATGTGAAGGGATTTTCCAAGTGTAATGAAGGTTTAAGGTTTAATCAAAAGAGAAATTACTCTGGGGGATGAGGGACCTGACCTTAGCAAGCCAGTCCTTCAAAAGAGGGCACAGGCTTCTCCTGAGATCAAAGAGTCTCCTGGTAGTCCTAAAGAAGCAAGCAAGCAGCCAGGAGCTCTACTGCTACAAGGAAATGGATTGTGTCACGTAAGCGCACAGAGCAAGAGCCCTCACTTCAGATGAAATTCAGACTTGTAAAGCCCTGAGTAGAGAGAGGATCTAACCAAACTTTAACTAGATTTCTGACCCACAGAAACTGTGAAGCAGACATGTGTCATGTTTTAGGGCAACAAGCTTGAGGTAATTAGTTACAGTCTTAAAAGACAAAAACTTATTTCTAGCTTTTGCTGAATCTGAAACAACAAAGAATTGGAAGAGTGTTCCATAAGTTATATTGATATTACAACAAACCCAGTCATTTCAGACCTTAGAGAAAAAAAATGCAAGAAGTACCTTCAATCTTATGAGGTGCAGTCAACTAACTAAACTCTCCAGGTGCATCTAAATGGTATGCAGATAGCTTCCATTACAGAAATGCTATAGGTTTGGCCTAGTGCAATACGGAAAATACCAGGTTCACCATTCCACACAATTATTGATGCCTTTCAAAATTATAAAATAAATATACACTACTCATACTTAACATAGTATCATTTTTTAGTACTTGAGAGGGGCTTGGTGTCAAAAACGGCAGTTTAATATCATGAAAACTAAGACCATTTAGCTTATTAGACTCACTGCTCTACTTCCCCTTATAGACATAATAATGACTTCTGTAAAAATTAAATCCATTTCCTAGATCACTGGAGAATATTTAAAAAGTTGTTTATGTGGGACAAGTTTCAGATATACAAAAGCATACCTTAGAATTCTAGAAAAAAAATCAATGTCCTATAGAGATCAGTTTAGACCTTATCTAGACAAATATTTAGACCTTCAGGTAGCCCTTAGAGACAGGAATATTGCTCCTATACATTAATTTCTGAAGCAGGGTCTTATGACAATAAAGCCCAGGCTGGATTTTAACTTGGTAATTCTCCTGCCTCAGCTTACTGAGAGCTAGAATTACATGCTCAGCTACCTACCAGGAGTCTTTATATATATGGATAACTATTCTGTATAATTGGCCTATTACAAGCACACTGATTACTCTTTACTAAAAAATTAGAATTTAAGCTTTCTGGAAAAAAAAAAGGCCTTGTGTGTATTCTCTCATTTGGAGCCACATGTTGGCTATGTCAATATTTAAAATATAACTCAAGCTGTCTCTTAATCCTCTTGACTTGACAAAGTGAAGGAAGGTCAAAGCCTTGGTTAGTGTCAACAGGGAGACACTGCAATTGTAGATGGTGTCAACTGAACAAGTTCTGTGAACTGAAATACTAATACACCCAGAATGAAATTACAGAGCTTATGACATGTCTTATGTTGGTTCTAGGAAAAAGGCTTAAGACAGACAAAAAGCTAATAGGAGCCATTGAGGTATACTCTGAAAAACATTAAATAGAAAAAGAAATCCACACACCACACACGCGCCCCATGTAAAACATTGCTTTAAGTTTTAATGTTTATTTCCCCAAGACAGCCTAGCCTGTACTCTACTTGAATAAATTTTACAAGCTAGTTTTCTGCTGCTTCTAGTTTTAAAGTTTAACCATGTTTTTGATGACAAGGAATGCTGCAAAAATACTCTAGTTCAACAAAGAGTTATGATCACAAAATAATTTTTATCCATTCTACAGTGTTTCAGAATTACCAGTTGATTTTTAAACACAAAGTAGATATAGATGCTAATGGTGGCTAACCTGGTATGTTTTTTATAGCAAACTGTTGTTCATGCAACACTTGTGCTCAAAGGGGAAGGCACAGGATTTCCTACAATGAGCCACCTTATAAAGAGTTCTTTTTGTACAAATTAATTTATGACATATTTAATTTAGTGTGCATAACCTCAAAACTGAGGTATTATTCCAATTTATAAAAACCACTTGCATAATTTTTATGCAAGTTTTAAAAATACAAAGTTTTTCTCCCTAAAGTGGCTCAAAATAGATTGTTCATGGCTGCCTACATCTAAGATAAAAAGATTCTAAAACAATTAAACAGATTAGGCATATTATTAAAGGTGTTCAAACCATTACTTGATTTGTACATCTACTCAAACCTCTTCATCGGTCTTTATTCAGCAGTACATATGCACCAAATTCCATTTTAGAAGTTTCCATATCATTTTCATAGAAAACAAAGTTTGAAAACAAGTTAACATTTAAACACAGCACGGTATTCTATCACAACTGAAACTTTTCTTCTTTACAGGACTCAACAAAATCTAAAAATGAACTATGCTGTAGATTTACTTCATGCAAATATCTTTATGTTATCTCTGAAAATGAAAAGAATGGCTTTTAAAGCACATTTTATACTATTATGGCAACTTGTGTACTGCAACACAGTCTATTGTGAGGGAAATTTATGATTTTTTTCATGCAAAAATCTACACAAATTAGTTTTGATGATATGGAAAGCTTTTCATAGCATCAAACACTCATCTGGTGCAAATGCACAGGGAAACCTTCCTGAAGTTTTCTGACTTGAGAAGCAACTAAAAAAGCCATACTAGGTAAAGTAAATAAAAACTAAATAAAAAAAGGGGTGGGGTAGGGTGGGGCATAAGGTAGAGGGAGAATAGAAAACACAGGCTGCAGAGTAAACCAATGTCTGCTGCTAAACCGGTCTTTGTTTTCCTGTCCAGTGTACGTTAACACTTGTGATCTCACTTTGATGATCTACTAGGTTTGTTATCAGCCCCCTGAAGGCAAATCAAGCTTGCATGCGTCCACATACAGCACCACAACCATACTCTTGTTACACAGTCACTCCAGGACTAGGAGTCTGCTTCATGTGTGAAGAGCCCTAGATTTGAAAGATGAACCTGGCTCTCTACCACGGAGCCAGACATTCATTCAACACTGTCCATTCACACACTGCTTCACAGCGAGGCCTGGGCTCATTTTCCTTGACTTATATGGGCATCGCCTTTATGCTTACAAGGCTTGATGATGATGGCATTTCACTTCTCAATTGATAGAGTAAGTCAATGCTCCGTCTCAGGCACTGAAGACCTATGACCTGTAGCCCTTTCCTCTCAACCTAAATAAGCATTCGTTTTCCTTACATTGCCACTCATTCTCACTCGCACCCACTCGCCACCTTGACCTCATTTGGGCATTTTCTGTGACTCCAAATGAAATCTTCACATTTTCTCTCCCGATTTAATGCAGCAGCAGATCCCATGAGCCAAGCTTGATGGATCAAACCTTTTATATATATGTGTATATATATATATGTTTCTCGGTGCTGCATTGTACCTAACTTCCACAACATCTTCCTAAAACTGGAACCCTTCTGTTGGTACATTGGTAGATGAATTGAAACCAAATGTTCCACCTTGAACTGACTCTGGAACAAGGCTAGGATCTTCATCAATCTGAAGGAAAAGAGGAAAAAAAAACAATAAAATGATTAGCTTTAAAATATATAAAAACTGAATCACAGTAACATTTCCATTATCCTCTAAAAAGATAGACCATATCTAAGTGATAACTGTCTGCCAAAAATGTACTACCATCCTTTAGAAAGCTAAAACACCTTGTAAAACTCCTTCCCTTGAGGATGTAAAGAAACGAATATATATGATGGAAATCTTATTGAAATAGAAAATTGGAAACGGCCCCAGATTTTAAGTGGAGAGGGTAAATACTGGTACTCACTGTAATTCTTCTTATATTTAGGAAAGTATAAGAACGTATATTCTTATACTTGGGAGGCATGGTGGCACATGCATTGACCTTGGCACTTGGGAAGGGAAAGCGGAAGGACTATCATCCACTTTCTGCTGAGTTTCATCTACATGGTGAGTTCTAGGTCATCCACACAATAAAAGAGCCTGTCTCAAAAAGCACAAACCAAATCTTCAAACAAACAAACACATATTAGCAGGAAGTAAATGCTCTATATTTATACTTTTAGAACTGTATAACTGTTATTTCTAATTATAACTTAGGACTTCCAAACTGAATACTTGGGTGTTGGTGGCACATGCCTTTAATTCTAGCGCTTGGGAGGCAGAGGCAAGTGGATCTCTGTGAATTCAAGGCCAGCCTGGTCTACAAGCAAGAGTGGTTACACAAAGAAACCCAGTCTTGAAAAACAAAAACAAACAAAAGGAGACACGATTAAGACTATCTTAAGAGTATGTTTTGTCTGGATCTTATTTATGATGTATTTAACTGCACATTTAAATAAGATTTAGTATGGACATTTCTTTTTCTATTTGTTTAGATTTATCATCTGGGTGTTAGAAACCAGTGGGTCCATCACAAGAGCAATAAGTGCCCTCCCTTAATTGCCAAGTGAACTCTCCAGGCTGGTTTTCTATATCAGCTTGCATCCATCCATCCATCCATCCATCCATCCATCCATCCATCCATCATCTACCCATCATGTGGGGGGCATATGCCATGTGGTACACATGTGGAGGTCAGACGACAACTTGGGAGAGTTGGGGTGTTCTCACATAGGATGGTTCTGGGTATTGAATTCAGACTGTCAGCCTTGACTCTATGAACCTCCTTGTTAGTTCTAGTGAGGAGGGCAATCCTAATGTCCTATGATTTTCTTTTTCTAATACTTTACTCTTTTCTTTTTGGTAATGTGGAAATGTGTTATGAAACTAGAGTTCTTCTTAAAAATTTTGGTTATGTACATGGGTATTTTGCCTGCATGTATGTCTGTGAACCACAGGGGTAGCTGGTACTCATGAAGGCAAGAAGGCGGCCTTGGATTCCCTGGAGCTACAGATGGTTGTGAGCCACTAAGTGGGAATTGGGAACTGAACCTGGGTTCTCTGGAAGAGGAGCCAGGCCTCTTAACCTCCTCCCTTCAATCCATTTCTCCAGCCCTGAAACTTGTATCTTGGAAACATAATTCATATAGGGTGTAGTGGTATGTGCCTTATACCCAGAATGAGCGAGGACACTTGGAAGGCTAGGTAGGAAGACTACTCAAAGTTCAAAGGACAGCCAGGCATAGACAGCAAAACATTTCCTAACAAAACCCAACCAAATAAACAATCCTTTACTTACAATTGTAATCTGGTGGCACTATGAATAAACGTAACTTTGTAACACTCTGTATCATATTGTATAGTACCTTTCATTTTCAGGATTTACTGTGCTCACCTTGTTTCTTCATCTTATTTGCTTTTAACCACCAATAAAAATTACATTTGAACATATGGATTAAGGGCTTATTGTAGGATACTAGTACTACTAGTTTTGTTTGCTTGCCTTTTGATTTCTTTTTAAAGACAGTTTTACAGTCCAGGCTGGCCTTGAAATCACTACACAGCCAAGAACTACCTTCAATTCACTTTAGTCTTTCTTCTGCATTAGCTCTGAAGTGGTGGAATTATAGTTGAGTGCCATTATGCTTGGTACCACCATTTTCTGTTTTGTTTATAGACATGTTATTACCAATTTAAAAGCATGAGAACTAGAAAGAAATCAGTGCAACAAGAATTCTTATTGTTTTGTTCCTGAGTTAATATCCTAGCAGGATTTAAAAATACTGAAATTTGTTTTTAAAGAAAATAATATTATTGTAACATATCTATTAGAATTCTATTGCAAAAAATTTTACATATACATCCTAGTTTACTATATTCTTTTACTCAGATTTGCTTAGCATATAAAACTAAGAAAACTATAAACATATTAAGTACATCATCTGAAGAGAAGAACTGGTCAATGATCTCATAGGCCAATTTGTAGATGTCCTCATTTTCATGATTCTGAAGTTGTTCAATTTTCTCCAGTCCTGTAAGAAATTTTATAAAGTGAACAATGGTAATTAATGTGCTGCTAGAAATTACAATAACTTCGAAACACATAATGCAATCTTTGTACTGTAAAATTTCTGGGTTATAGTCTTTAGTGGTCTATTCCACTGATGAGTCTTAAACTAAGATTTTATGCACAAAGATAAAGGACATTTACTTTAAAGAGACTGACCATCTGAGCAACACCATGTAAATGTGCCAATTAACAATGTGACATCTATTAAGTAAATTACAGACCAATGGTCACAAAAAGTATAAAATTACTTTTAATTATTAAAAAATAGATGAGCACATACTCTTTCTAGCATCTGCCCAGCCTTTTAATATCTATGAAAAAGAAACTGATGCTGCCAATAAATACAATGATTCTGTGACGCTCATTGAAAACAATCAAGCCACCCATAGTATTTCAGGGGAAGGACTGAACCTTAGGATGTCTATCAAGTCATAGGCAGGGCATTAAAAAGCACATATACACCAGGCGGTGGTGGCACACACCTTTAATCCCAGCACTTGGGAGGCAGAGGCAGACGGATTTCTGAGTTCGAGGCCAGCCTGGTCTACAGAGTGAGTTCCAGGACAGCCAGGGCTACACAGAGAAACCTTGTCTCAAAAAACAAACAAAACAAAACAAAACAAAACAAAACAAAACAAAACAAAACAAAACAGCACATATACACTAAGCTTACTAATATGCTTTACAGAGTGATAATTTAAAGACTACTGAAATGAAGAGAAGTTACTTTTCCTCATGAAGTTTTCTTCCTCTGCTTACTCTTTGGATAGAGAAAGTTATCTTGGTAGCCTGTCACTACTCACTCTCTTTTGGTGTTTCTTTTATTAAAAACTTTAGTTACTACATAGGACTTTACATACTACTTAAAATGTTATCTTTCCTACTGTTCAGTTTAATAAAAACAAAATTAAAATGCCTGAATAATTCCGTAAGAACAGTTATTACTTGCGTTCCTCATTTAAACTTTTCATCTGCAGTTTTTTTTCTTAAAAATCAACAAAAGCTTGCTTTCCTTTCCCTTAATCTAATCTCGAACACTTCACATAATCATTTCTGGAATCCTATTGTTTTCCTGCTGTCTACAGCATCACTGCCCTCACTTATCGTAGCCTGCTCACTGTGTACTCTGCTGACTGGCTTTTCTGTCTCCCATCTCCAAAAGCCCCATGGGTCAGACATCTACCCTAACATACCCACTTAGATAAAATGTACCAATGGCCTGTCATTGTTTGACATGGTAGAACAGAAATTTATAAAACATAGACTCCTTACCACCAGTGAAGCAAGTAAACCTTTTCTATTTTAATATATAAAATTATTTTACTCATCAAAATAATTATCAATTTTTCTTATTAATTTTCCAACCTATTCCCTATGTCCTCTTTCTACTTTGATGATTATACTATTTTTGTTCTATTTGTCACGTTAGTAATTTTAACATTCTTCTTATTGCATTAGTAAGATAGTACTAATAATCTGTTTCTATTTTTTTCTTCATTTTTTCAGGGGTAGGGAGAGACATTCCAGGGTTTCAGACATCCTTTAATAAGCATTCTACTGTGTTTACAGAGCTGAATGCCAGTGTCCTAATACCTATTTCTTATTCAACAGTTTTCCAGGCCTAGGCTTCTACTTAAGTTCTCTTACTCTTTCACTCACGTTCCAACTTCGGTCAGTCAGTTTAGGCTTATTCAGGTGAACATTTACATTTTGTTCCACATCCACAACTGACGTAATTTTTTGGCCTAGATGTTAACTTTAAGAATTAAAAAGCATTGTGTTGTTCCCATTCTAGGAGGCTCTGGACCAAAATCAGATTTGCTAACTACTGTCCTATGGAATAAATAAAGCATGTGCTGGTCAATAAAGTTCTGGATTCCCCAACTTCTCAACACTGCTGCTTGTCAAGCTTCAACTCAAGGCAGCTGCCATCCCATAGTCTGTGATTCAGCAATATTGAATTATTTATAATTTGCTGAATGCTAATTCTCACCTCAGACTTTGCTCATGTTGTTATCTCTGCCTGGAACACCTTTCATCCCTTTTTACTTTATTAAGCCTTATTCATCTCTCACAGTCCAGCTCAGGCGTCACCTCCTGCTTCTTCCAGGATGGATTAGGTATCCCATTTTGTGGTACATTTCTATTAGGGTAATTAGCACATTAAATCAGTCCATATTTCTCCTTAAGTCTAAACTACATGCCTTGAGGGGCTGTTTTGTTTACCACTGTCTTCCTACTACTTTAGCATGGTGCTTTTATTATATGGCAACAATTCAGTTACTTAAAAATACACAGAAGGCTAAACAGGGCTGTATAGATGAATATAGTATATTTTATTTTTATCTGGTTATCTAAGACAAAAATATATGGAAATGCTATATTAATCAGAAAATAAAGGTAGTTACAAAAAGAGCATTAAAATGCATATATCATCTCATAGTTAACTTACCACCACATTCTTCTATGAGATTGGCTATGGTTTCTGCTTGATCTTCAGCCATTTTCAATATATTACTTAGTCCATCAAGTACTACCTGCACAACCTGTGCATCTTTTACAGTCAGCAAATTGCAAAAAGGTGGAATAACATTTTGTTGGATAAGATAGGCCACCTGAAAAATAAGGATACCATAAAATGGTAAAATAGAGGTCAACTGTCAACTTTTTTTATTAAAATATAAGTCTGAATATGAAAACATGGACTCATCTCTCTCCCATGTTAGACTACATTAAAAAATATTCTTTTTATTCTTACACCCAAGATCTTTTTCCCTTTAAGAAATTATTAAATCAACCAAGAAGATGACTGACATTTTTTAAATACTATGATTGTTCAAGTAACACTAACTACTGGCTTTGTGGTGTTTTAACATTCTCAAGAAAGATGAGAGGCTATTTTGCAATGCAACAGAGGAAAACATCAGGTGCACTAATTTGTCACTGTACACTTTATTCCTTTGGAACAGGGTTCTCATTAAATCTGGAGCTGAAATATACTGTCCTGTCCCAGTGTCCTCGCCCCCCACACCCCATGCCCAGTTGGAGTAACAGACTGGTATATTTGGCCTAGTATATGGGAACTGGGGGTCTAAAATCAGGTCCTTATGCTTGTGTAGAAGTGTTCTTACCCACAGAACTATCTCCCCAGCCTCTGTGTTTGCATTTAAATAGAGCTTTTTTTTTTCCTTATCTGTTCTATGAACAAGATCTGAGACCTTTAGTTCCAGTGTTGCTTCCGATGTGTACATAATTTACATTACCCTTTGAATGTCTCCTTACATTTGTCCCTTGCATTCGTTACCCTGCTTCCCAGTCCCAGCTCTGTGACCTGAGTTTACTGTCTCCATTGTTTTGGTGCTAGGAAATTTATTTGTAGCTGTTCATTTGTTAGGAAACTCTCTAATATAGTTTCTTTCTGCGATATTAATTTTAAAAGTCTGTTATTTCTCAAAACTATTTTTAAAAAGCCCTCACTTGATCTTACTCTAGATTAGAAAAGTCTTGCATGAAGTCTAGGAGTTTGAGTTAGTGGGCAGTACAATGCCTGGCACACATAAAGCTCTAGGTTCAATGTCCAGCACTGTAACTGCTAGAAAAACGTGTCTCCTAGGAAATATGAGTAAAGGAAGTTAAGGAGATAGTTTTATGTATATATTAAAGAAAAAAAAATCACACAACAGAGTTTGGAGGCATAGCTAAGATGTAGAGTACAGGCCTTGGTTCAATCTTCAGCATGCGTTTCAGTGCATTGCTTGTACAAACACACACACACACACACACAGAGCAAATATAACCTAAAACCAAAACCAATCTACAAAATATAGTATTCTATTATTTGAAATACTGACTCACTTAAATATCAAGGCATAATGAATTACCTGTACTGTTATGTCAACTTACTTGGTCTTTCCTCCCACTGATTGTTAAGTTACTGATGGCCCATGCAGCTTCTTTCTGAGTGCCAAAATCTCCCTTAAAACAAAACAAGAACACAGGGTAAATCTGAAACTATATTTTCTAAAATGATTTTTTTAGTTATTTCCAACTTTCTCTAGAGATATGTTATATACATGTACAACTTTTATTTACTGGTAAGTCTTGAAAAACAACCAATCTATTCTGAAGAAATAAAAATTACTTTCTGTGAATTCCCCTGGGTATATGTATGTGTGTGACTTAATATTACTGTTCAATATCAGAATAAATAAAAGTCAATGCAATTTCATTAAAAAAATACAAATTGAAAATATTTAAAATGGAACATATAGAATTTTGTAATCTTACCTTCAAGATTTTACCAGCAAGCTAATTTAAAACATGGTAATAATGCACATCTTTCTACATATGCCTACAGCACAGTAATACACAAAAATTAGACTCAGTTAACATTCTTAACATTACATAATACAGAAAATCTGCAAAATGAAATAACCTAAGCAATTAAAGACTAGAAGCCTAGCACATTTTATTAAGAAAACACATTTATAAATAAAAGAAACTAAATTAAAATGGAAATGAGGTGTGATATTAGATTGATGTTCTTTGAGGCAGATAATGGTGTAAATGGGTACAATCCTTAGAGAGGTGAAAGGGAATTATGCAGGAACATTTTCCTATTTATCCAGTTATGCTAACTTGAGGGAAAAACGGTTTCCATAGCTAGTCCAGGCTAGCCTTTAAGTCCACAGTGTACTGTGTCTGCCTTTAAGGTGCTGGGATGATGTTACCATGACTCAGAAGCTATTCTTTAAAGTATATTCTTTAAATGCACACATTATATATGTATAAAAGTATATATTACTATACATATATGTAGTATGTACTTTTAAATATATATATTATAATCTAAATTAGATATTTAGAAATTTTAGATAAAAATATAACACTAATATGTAGCATATATCACTTTAGATAAACCTAGATATACACATACACATATAGCCTAATTGAAGTTATAACACTTGGGCTGATAGACTATGTAGCAAAAACCCCAAAACCTTGCATGAAATCTTCATCTGAGTTATTGGTCAGAGGGGTTCAAGAGACTACTCAAACAATACAGGCTATTTCTTTTGTCCTTGTCTCTCAGTAGTTGAAGGTAAGTCTCTATTTCTGATCAACTTCACACATCTGGAGAGAAGACCAGGAAGATTCAAGCTAGATCTAACCTAAAAGCATCCTTCCTGTGGTTCAGCTATTACTATTAGAAAGCATGAAAGCTGCCAAAGGAAGGGAAGTGATCAACAGTCCTATCCAGCCATGTGATATCCAGCCATGTGATCAGCATGGTTAGATATCCCTAAATGTGTAATAAATGGTACTCATATGTTAGCAGTAACCAATAGCTAGCTATCTAAATTTAAGGCCTGCTAACATGAGGGAAATCATATGTTTGGTACCAGAAACCTAGTCAGCTACCCAGGACTCACGGTGAGGTGATGGATCTCAGAAGAATTCCTACTACTGCCACTTTACTAGACCAGTATAATCCTAATTACATTCTACTCTTATGTCTACAGATAAATGTAGCTCTTACACCTCATCAAAGAAGCTTCTCTTCACAGCATATGGTGAGCATAACAGAAAACAACAAACGGCCTTAACACAGAGATCATGGAGTGTCTAGCTCCAACACAGAGGGGTGAGAAAGATTCTAAGAGTGTAAGAGCCAGAGGACCACAAAGTCTGTTGTGAGACTGTGCCTTCTAGAAATAACAGAGAAGATATACCTGTGATAGCTGATCACCATGGCAGCCTGAATACAATTCTAAATTATAACAAATCAAGCTATATTAATGACAAAAGGTTGATATCTCATGGTGTCCCATCACTAGACAAAGAACTACAGAATATTACTCTATACTAGAGATAACCTTCCTAATAATTAGTTATCAAATACAAATGGCCACTCCTGAATTGTATACTCAAGCAACTAAAACGGACTCACCATCTGTACTTAACTATTTATGCATTTATACATGTAACAATCAAAGCAAGAGGTCATCGGTGTGACAGCAAAGGGGGCCATGGGAGGAACGGGAGAGGACATAAAGGGTAGGAGGAGAAAAGAGGGGATGTGAAGTAAGTATATTTTAATTTAAAAAGATTAAAAAAAAAAGAAAAGCCCAAGAATTGTAGGCAATACACAAAAAATGTGAGAATTAGAAAGTCAACATTTTGCTACTCCCAAGCAATAACCAATGACTATCTGAAAACAAAATAGTCCTTTTTTCCAAATCTTTTTTTTTTTTTTTAAGATTTATTTATTTATTATATATGAATACACTGTAGCTGTCTTCAGACACACCAGAAGAGGGCATCAGATCTCATTACAGATGGTTGTGAGCCACCATGTGGTTGCTGGGATTTGAACTCAGGACCTCTGGAAGTGCAGTCAGTGCTCTTAACCACTGAGCCATCTCTCCAGCCCCTTTTTTCCAAATCTTAATGAGTGTAAGGAATAATATGACATATAGGAGCATGCTCTCTGGTCACTGGATTCTGGGTAAGTGATATTCATATAATAGTTTCATCTGACAAATGGGAATAACCCCTGACTTGGACACTACTCTGTGAAGAAGAGGCTCTTCCCTTGTGCCATCTGAGTCCCAGGGATAAAACTCAGGTCCTTAGGCTCACTGGCAGTTACCTTTACCTACTGCGCTATCTTGCTGGTTCAGCTTGTCATATAAGAAGGGGTAAGATTTACACAATGCTTAGAACAATATGACAGCATTTATTATTGGTAACGATACTACTTGTTTTAACTCTAAAGCAATGGCTATCTTGTTAGAGTAATGACAGGGAAGGGACAGTTTTCAGATAGAAACATTTGTACCATATGCTATTGTTGGGTTCAAAAACCTTAGTACCAGTCACAGTTGACTGCAGTTTTCATGCCACTGTATAGTGTCTTGTTAAACAGAAAACTATTTACCACATAATGCTCCGATACATATTTTCTTACCTTATCCAAAAGGTGTATTATCATTGGTACAAGATTGGCATCAATTACTGCCTGAACCTGCTGTTGATTTCCTGCGGTGATGTTGGAGAGGAACCACACTGCTTCCTGTGGAACAAGATGCTTTCAATATTTTTCATTAAAAAATAAAATGCATATCTAAACTATGAAAAAGTATTCAATAGCTAGTGTCACAATTATTTTATTATTAAATGAGTTCTGTAATAAAAACCTTAGAAAGTTTAAATCTACTACACTCTTGCTGTATTTTTTTTTAAATCTTTATCTGATTAAAACTGTAACCCTGGCTGACCTAAGACTCCTAGAAATCTACCTGCTGCTGTCTCCCAAGTGCTGAAATTAAAGATATGTGCTATCATACCTAGTCCTCCATAGTTAATTTTCTGTATAAAATATACAATTTACACATTACATAATATCTTTCCCTATTTTCTTTGGACAAACCACTACTGGTTTCTAATTCAAGATACAATAAGGCACCCCATCTAAAGAATTTTACAGGCAATGCTGTTTGGAAGCAGGATGACTCAATAAGCTTGGCTGACCAAATACCAAGGAAGACGCTATAAACTATAAATCCTACAACTATTGAACATTAAATTTAGCATCTTTTTCTCAAATAATGTGCTTTATTCTACTCTCTCTACCTTAACAATTCTATCCTAGTAGATAAATATTAATTAGCCATGATAATGAAGACATCAAAACTGCAAGTGGATTCTTTTATTGTCCTTATTTATAATAGTCATTGTACTAGTTCTCTCAAGCGCTAAATGTGGCACCAGTTGTTGGCTTGCTTGATTGGTCTACTTTAATGGATCTTTGAATACTGCCCTTAACACCAGGAAGATGCTATACTACTGCTAGAATGATAGTGGTCACAAGTTTGAATGACAATAAATGCATTACTAAAACCTGTATTAGTAATAAACAACAACAACAAATATTTTACATCCTATGGAGAACATTATTAGAATTTACCAAATTTAAATTCACCAATATACAAATTAGTATAGTGAAAAGTAGCATACACTAGACTCTTTTGGATCAGATCACAGGATGTTTAATGATCCTGTTAGAGAGTTTAGGGTGCTGGGCTACTTAGGTGAGCTGTTTTTGGGTTATAATCATCGGCAATGTTGTTATCAACAACCCATGTTATTTCTACAACAGCCTCAGATGCACTCCAATATCAGCATCACCATTCAGTGCCCCCTTCATAGCCACCACACACACACACACATGCATGCACACAGCCACACGAATAAGTATCAATGAAACATTAAACTAAGAGAATTATTACAGGTATTAAAAATTTCCACTCACAGCAACATTCAACACCCAAATATCTCTATTTCATCATTTCCAAGAGAGCCAAAAATACAGTTTATTGGTGATGGTGTAGTTCAGTGGTAGAACATGTGCTTAGTATACCAACGGCTCTAGGTTTGAAGCCAGAACCTCATAACTATATTATAAAGAATAACATATTTTCTCTTGAGGCCTATAACATCTTATACTACAAAGTGAACGCTTTTTAAAGATATTTCTTAGAACCTAATTCCACAAACAAAAAGTACCATTTTATTAATATTCTTAAAATACTCACTTTATTAATTTTCTCTTTGGGATGAGTGAGGAGTGCTGGGAAGTGTGAGAGAGCATCACAGTTTAAAACTACTTGTGTCTGCTCATCAGTTCCAGTGACAATGTTGCCCACAGCTCGCAGAGCAGCAGTCTGAAACAGGAAATGCAATGAGATGCTTGATATTAAGAACTCTTATCAACCAGTACCAGGCAACCTGGGACAGATTCAGTGGCTCATGCAGTTCTTTCACTGCAACTAACCCATCCTTCCTGAACACTGTATTTCAGGTACTGATCTAGGAACAACAGTGGAAAAAGAAATATAAATTCCAGGCCTTATGTAGCTCAAGTTATTTCAACAGAATTGATACCAATAAAAGAGCAATTTTAGATAATTACTACCATAAAGAAATACTATTCAGCTATTGAAAACAAGGACATCGGGAAATTTGAAGGCAAATGGATGGAATTAGAAAATATCCTCCAGGGAGGTAACCCAGACCCAGAAAGACACATGTGGTATGTACTCACTAATAAGTGGATATTAGCCATAATGTACAGGATAGCCATGCTACAATCCACAGACCCAAAGAAACTAAGTAATAAGGGGGACCCAAGAGAGGGTTGATGAATCTCACTCCGAAACAAAATAGTCATCATCAGAGGTGGACAGAGGAAGAGAACTGGATGGAGAAGGAATGGTGACAGAGGATCAGGTGTAGGGAGAGATGGAGAGAGGGGGCCAAAGACCTGGGATAGGGGAGGCTCTAGGGAGTTTATGAGGGTGATTCTAGCTTAGACTCTTAGCAGTGGGGGATGTGGAGCCTCAACTAGCCATCTCCTGTAGCCAGGTTGGACTTCCAGTGGAGAAAGGGGAACATCAACCAGTTTATAAAACCTTCAACCCAAAATGTGTCCTGTCTACACAATATGAGAGACCAAGGAAATGGCTAACTAATGACTGCCCCAAATTAAGACCCCATTCCATGTGAGTCAAGTTCACGTGTCCACTGTATCTCTAGTACAGTGGGGATGTTGACAGGACACCCAATATCCTCTTCTGCTTTCTTGGTGCACACCTGCTGCACGTGTGTGTGTGTGTGTTTGTGTGCGCGCACACACGCGAATACATCACACATATGCACAAAAGATGCAAATTTAATAATAAACATGGAACAAAAATATTTATAATAAATTATATATTTAAATAACTTGTATTGGTCAATCTTTCTGAATTAGCTCTTTGTTTGTTTGTTTGTTTGTTTGTTTGTTTCTTTCTTTCTTCTTCTTTTTTTTTTTTTTGTTTTTGATAAAGGGTTTCTCTGTATAGTCCTAGCTGTACTGGAACTCACTCTGAAAAACCAGGCTAACTCCACCTCTCTGTCTCCCAAGGGCTGGGATTAAAGGGGGAGCCACCACCACCAGCTGCCCAGCTCTTTCTTTTTTTTTTTTTTTGAAGTGTTTTAATTTTAAAGAAGAAAACTTACTTAGTTTGTGTACACATGCATATGAGCTTGACATCATGTATGTATGTATGTATGTATGTATGTATGTATGTACGTATGTATGTATGTTTGTTGAAGTAAGGTCTCTCACTGAGCCTGGAGCTTATTGAGCTACCAGAATCCTCCTCCACCTCCTCAGTGCTGGGCTTACAGGCAGAAACTGCCACATGAGCTCAGGATGTGGACGGGTCCTCATGCTTGCACTTTATCCAGTGAGCCATTTCTTGAGCACTTTTTACACTTTAAGTAAATGTATCTCCATTGTTAACCGCACACTCATTACTTGAAGAGCTAGCTTAAGTTTGTAGGGAATACAATGGTATTATATCTAGGAGCTAAAGAAGGGAAAAAAAAAACATTTTTTTCCCTTTATGTTTCATGGTTAATTCTAATGTCCAGCAAAGGGCAAGAAAAAGTAACTTAAGCTAACAGCTTTCCTCAGATAACTGCATGGTCAACTTTAGATCATTTTAAGATTAAAAATCATTATTTACCTTAAAAAAGTAGGGAAGGCTTTCTGATCCTACTTTACCTCTGCAGTTTGACTATCACTGTGTGTGTGTATATGTGTGTGAGTGTGTGTATGCATGAGCCTAAGTGTGTTTGTGTGTTTGTGTGTACAGCAAAGGCTGAACTTTGCACAAGTGAGGCAAGTGTTGTACAACTAAGCTATCTTCTCAGCTCTAATTTTTTTAGCTTTTCATAGTTGGAGGCTCACTGAGATAAGAGTCTGTGAGAGGATTAAAATATAGAGAAACAATCAGGAAATCCTTAAACTGCATATCAGGTCAAATCTTTTATCTAGATAAGTATCAGACAAATATCAGTAAGTCAGTGTTAACCAAATTGCTGGTGAGTAAAAATGGATGCTTTCATAGGAGTGGATGGGAAGGAGTGGAAAAAAGCAAACAAGAATGGTTTCAGAAGCCACCCAAGGTGCTACACTAAATCAAGCTTCTTGGTATTAAAAGTCAGTTCTTCACGGTAAGGTCTTCCTGTCTGGAAGGGAAGGGCGGTTCTTAATGAACTGCAGTAGTTTTATCTCATTTTCTCCACTTTTATAATGAAACTATAAAATAACTCACCTTTTCCCATCAAAAACACATTACATTGTTAGGTGAATAATATGCTTTAATTTAAAAAAAAAAAAAAAAACAACTGTTAATCTTTGAATGTCATGCTTAAAGCATGGTGAGAAAACCCCAACTTAATCAAAATAAACCTACCTGAACTTTAACTTCCTGGTGGCTGAGTAGCGGAACCAAGTGAGGAACTATTCCGGAGTCTATTACCATCTGTATCTGTTCATTGCCAGCATCCGTAAGGTAAGACAGGGCCCAGACAGTATCTACCAGTATCTAATAAGTAAAAGAAAAGTTAACATAGTTCAGTATTTTCTCATTTTAATATTTCCTTTTGATTTTTCTTGGAGGGGGCACAGGACTTTGGAACAGGGTTTCTCGGTGTGCAGCTCTAGTTGTTGTGGAACTTGCCCTGTAGTCCAGGCTGGCCTCAAACCTAGAGATCCACCTGACTGTGCCTTCTGAATGCTGGGATTAAAGATGTACACCACCACACTCAGCGACTTTAATAATTCTTAATCATAATGTGAGATCTTTCTCTTCCTGTTTCAACTCACTAGAACATCAATCTCTATTCTGTAACTTTGCTAAGATGTATAAGTTAATTACAGTCCAAACCCCATATCAGTATCTAATCTTAATTCAGCAAACTACACATGCAGACTAAACAGCATATTAAATCAACCAACCAACCAACCAACCAACCAACCAACCAACCAAACAACCAACCAACCAACCAACCAACCAACGATAATGATCAAGGCAAGGAATATATAAAAACAGTAACTCCTGAAAAAATAATTACTTCATATCACTGCTATTATGGGGGAAGAGAGGCTTTTTGATTAATTTATAATGATGATGATGCTTTGACACACACAAGTCATGTGTTTGATCCTTCTTTGTATTTTAAACCTTACTATGGCCAAAGGACAGTAGGGTAAAAAGACAGTAAAATGTGATAAAAAATAACACAATTGTTTACAAAAAAAACTCCCTCAGGAATAGCAACTCTATCTAGAACTCCAACATCCTTTGAACTCTGTATCAAAAAGCAGAAGTTTAAAACCTTTCCAATTCCTAACCAATGTTATGATTAAGACACTCTAGGTAAGGCAGAGGGGGAAACAGTATAGTCACAGCTCCTTTAGAAATTTAAGAAAGCAGTTGAGCACGGTGGTGTATACCTGTAACTGCTCTCAGGAAACGAGGAAGGAAGAACAAGAGTGCAAAGCATTCTTCAGTTACATACTGAACAGGGCCGGGGCAGAGGCATTCAAGAAAGTTCTAAAGATACACACACTTTTTTTTCCTTTAAAGAAAAAGAAGCCAGCAAACAGCCAACCATGGTGGTGCACATGGCAGCTTTAGGCAAAAGGATTTTGACAGACAACAACCTGGGCCATATACCAAGGTTCTGCCTTGATAAGCAAAACAGAACACCAAATGGAAGAATTTTTACAAAGTGGTATCAACATATGTAAAACAATTACCTCTCAATTTACAAATAAGGACTTTTGTCTTGAGTTTCATCATAGGCTAAATTTTGTTGACAAAGGCAAAAAATTCAAGTTACTTGCTCTTGACTACATATAAAAACTTGATACATTCTCTGAAGGTCCAATGTTAAACAAGTTGTTAATGTACCTAGATCCAAATTCTTCTTCAAACCCAATTAGAAATCTTTTGTATTTGTACCTGACCAAGTTTATAAGTTTTCTAATTATAACTACAATATACTTTCTCTTTTTACTTCTTTGATGGCTCATTTAAGAGTGAATAGTTCTAACTTAAGAAGGCTATACATATAGTAATATTATTTAGTAAATGATATAGTATTTGTGAAAGATAGTCCTAAAACAATTCAAACAAGAAATTAATATTCAAGACCCGTTAAAAGTAAAACACTGAAGCACAAGCTCATCTTGTGGTGGACAAACAAGAGTTTGGGAAACAAGTGGAAAGAAAAAGTTGTTTGCTATTCCAATAGTTACCAATGTTCTTGCAAAGCTCTGAAAAACAGAACACTGAAATCTGTATTTATACAAAGAACTTTGCTATAACTGGAGAAATAAGACTGAAAAATGGAACCGAGGAACAACAGATCTTCATAGTTTGATATATATACATACATACATATATACATATACATATATATATATATATATATATATATATGTATACACACACACATGTATGTGACAAATAAGTTTGATACACACACACACACACACATATATATATATGAACATATCAGTATTTAAGCTAAATATTCACTTATGCTTCAAAGTTCAAAGATACAACCATGTGTATATATTCTCAAAAGCCAGACTGCCAGAGGGGGTAATCATAAAGGTCATGAACAATCAATCATGATAACAAGAGATGACTAATTGCATTTTTAGAACAGGTTTGATTCCTCACTGAAGCTACAGAAACAAGAGTAAATGTAAACAAATATGTACCTCAATTCTTAAAATGGTAAAGTATGAGAGAATACAATTACACATTGTTTTCAGCTCTCTCCTAAATCATAGTGGGAGTCCAGTACATATACATACACATGTACATACACACATACATACATTCATATACAAAGAGGAGAATTTACTCACATTTACATCTGTGTGATGAATTAATACACAAAGAGCTGGAAGAATCTGAGGAGAGAAATATGTACAACTTAAACATACACCAATTAAAAGAAAAAAAATATAATGGTATCTAACTTTTTTTCTTTTGTTTACCTCCTGAATCGTCTCCATTGGTGGTGGTGGGTCTTTGTGACGACATAAGTTGACCATAACCCAGGTAACATTTCTTAAGAATGTTATAGGGATAGATGGACTTATGAATGAAAGCAGAGGTTTTACAACTCCAAGGCTTATCACATAATCTCTACACTGAGGTCCATCACCTGTAGAAAGGATTAATTTAGTAAAATAAATCAGCACTAAGCTTTTTCAGAAAACATAAAGCATTGGGTATAATTATGCAGCTACTAATATTTTAATAATATTTCTTTAGTTTTATATAAAATATTAGGAATTTAATAAGTACACATTCTAGGTCTTTGAGCCAAAAGAACCAATGTAATACTATCTATTTGTGTCTATATCAGCTGGTCACTTATAGGATGTCCCTAAGATGCAGCAGCCCGAGAATTTTTTCAAATACCTTGAGCAGACATGTTATTGTTACCTCAATGATTTGTTCAGTTTAACAAGCTTTCACATTAATACAATATATGTCTGAATAACTATTGAGAAAAAGAATGCAGAATTCATATTTATGTTATGATTCAATAGGGTCTAGTGTGGTGGCACAAGTCTAATCCCAATGTTTTGGAGGTAGAGACAGAATGGAGATAGGTTTAGCAACATAACGAGTTCAAAGTCAGCCTAGGATATATGAGACCCACTATCAAAAGCAAATCAAGACCCACTATCAAAATCCACAAGAAAAAAAAGTTCTTGCACTACAATATCTGGTGATGTATTTGATTTAATTCCAAAACGTAATTAGAGAATAAAAAAGCAAAACTAAGTATCATAATGTTTCTTTAATACAATGGTTCTCTACCTGAGGGGTCACAAAACCTTTAAGGGGGGATGTTACATACCAGATATCCTGTATATCAGATATTTACAATTCATAACAGTAGCAAAATTAGCTATGTAGTAACAAAAATAATTTTTTAAAAGAATTATTTTTTTATATGTATAGGAACATACTGTAGCTGTCCTCAATCACACTAGAAGAGGGCATCAGATCCCATTACAGATGGCTGTGAGCCACCATGTGGTTGGTGGGAATTGAACTTGGGACCTCTGGAAGAGCACTCAGTGATCTTAAGCATTGAGCCATCTTTCCAACCCCCACCATAAAATAATAATCCATTAGATAATTTTATGGTTGGGGTTATGGTGGTTTGAATGTTTGGCTCAAGGAGTAGCACTATTAGGAGGTGTGGCCTTGTTGGAGTAGGTGTGGCCTTATTGGAGGAAGTATGTCACTGTGGGGGAGGGCAAAGAGACCCTCCTCCTAACCATGTAGGAGCCATTGATGTTGGCCAGTCTTCTCCTAGTGGCCTTCAAATGAAGGATGTAGAACTCTCAGCTCCTCCTGTATCATGCCTGTCTAGATGCTACCAAGCTCCTACCTTGATAATGGACTGAACCTCTGAACCTATGTCAGCCCCAATTAAATATTGTTCTTCTAAGAGTTACCTTTATTGGTCATAGTATCTGTTCACAGCAGTAAAACACTAAGACAGTGGTCATCATAACATGATGGTCAAAGCATTAGGAAGGTTGAGAACAACTACTTTAATAGCTTTATTACCTAAAGCTTGATGCAAGAGTAAAGGAGAGAGGCATCCAGATATGTAACATCATTTCTAAAAGCAGTGTAATCTACACTAGTAAGTTCATAGAGTATGCTGCTCACAAAAACCTCAAGCACAACATTTTCAAGTTGGATCTAAAAGGGGCAATTAAGAGGTATCAAAACAATGCTAAATACTTACATGCAAGTAATTATGGTGGCACATACCTATAATCTCTAAATACAAGAGGCTGAGGCAGGAAAAGTGCTCAGAGTTCGATGTAACCTGGGTTACAGTCAGCCAAGGAGACACAGCAAGACAAACAAACAATAACCTCCATGTAAGAACAATAAAGACTCTGTGACAAGTGTTTAGGGATGTTGAGATGGCTTGGTGAGTAAAGGTGCTTGTTAAAACCCTGAGTTCAATACCCAGAAAATGTGTGAAAGGAAGACGCCATCTGCCTCAAGTTGTTCTCTAATCTTTACATGTATGCTGCAATAAACATGTAAACATGCACACATATACATACACACAAGGCAATATGTCTTAATTTTAAAATATGTCTGGAATCCTCCTCCTTTATCAAAAAAAATTGATAAAAACCCCTTAAAAGGGATTTCTAAAATTTCCAAGCCAGATTTCAGAATTTTCCCAATTATTGATTCTCTGGGGGAGTTTTTTGTTTTTGTGAGACAGGGTTTCTCTGTGTGGCTTTGGCTATTCTTGAACTTGGTGTGTAAACCTCTAACTCATAGAGATCCAACTGCCTATGCCTCCTGAGTGTTGGGATTAAAGGAGTACGCAACCACTACCAGGTAGTTATCTGAATTTTTTAGATAGTCTTGCTATGTAGTACAGGCTAGTCTTGAACTCACAGCAATTCTCCTGCATCAGTCTCCATGAGTACTGGGATTAGTTCTTTGAATTTTTAAGTTTAATTTTTAAGTAGTTAATATAGCCTCCAGTAAACAAACTTGGTGGTGTAGTCTTGCAATCCCAGCACTTGGGGGTGGGGATTCTCCAGCTGAGGTAAGAGGATTATGAGTTTCAGGCTAGCCAGGTTACCAGAAGTAAAAAAAAATGCCTCTAGTTTAAAAAAATGCTCAAAATACTGAGGTTGTGTCAATTATTTTTCCTAAAGTTATTTATAAGTGAATAGGTATTGATTATAATGTTCAATAATGAATTAGGCTATTAGATACTTACTATTAATTCACAATAATAATAGAATTATACATTACTAAATTTTAATCTCTTATACAAAGTTTTTAGACTTCTCAAGTATACAACAAAGAGAAAAATTATTTTAATTAATTACTACTACTGTTATTCTTAGATGGAGAAAGTAAGATGGACATCAATATAAAGAAATTTAAATAATTTATATATTTTATTTTTGTTTTGTTTTTTTTTGTTTTTCAAGACAGGGTTTCTCTGTACAGCCCTGGCTGTCCTGGAACTCACTCTGTGGACCAGGCTGGCCTCGAACTCAGAAATCCGCCTGCCTCTGCCTCCCAAGTGCTGGGATTAAAGGTGTGCGCCACCACCGCCCGGCAATTTATATATTTTATAAACCTTTAATTAAGAGTTGACTACCAACAAAAAGCTATCATGGTGATGTAAGCAACAAACATACTCCTGTGTATTGTTGCTTTATATTCATAGAGTCAATCACACAAACTGGAAATGACAAGAAATTACTTTTCAATCACTAGCAGTCATATTGGTTAGTGTATGATTTATCCAATTTATTTCACAAGTTTCATACAAACCTATGATGTTTCCCAATGCCCACACTGCCTGTTCACAGACATTCTGATGGGGTGAATGTAGAAGCCTCAGGAAAAGTGGTACAGCATCTGAAAGAGAAAAATAAGTAGCAATTAAGGATGAAGATAATATAAGGCCCTTCATTTTTTTGACTGAGATCCCAACAAAACATAATACAAACTATCAAAACTATTTTAAAATATCACTTTGTTAAATGAATTTTGTTATTGAAATAATTGACAGGAAAACTAGTATCAAGATAAATTGTAACATATAAACAATCCCAAACTAAATTCCATATTTTAAACAATTAAAACTTGGACTCAATCACATTTGCTTGTTTGTCATTAGACTAAACCCAGGGCAGTCTACAAGCTGTCGTCATATTCTACCACTGTACTGTGGCCCTACCTCAGACTGAAGCTCAATTTCAAGAATCATTTCTTACAGAGTGTTATCTTCAAAAATCAGTGAAAAAGCCTGTCTTACGCAAGTTCTGTTTTTTACTAATTTAGACAGAGTGTATGAGTGTGTGTATGTGTGTATTGGTGTGTATGGCTGTGTGTGTCTGTGGGAGTGTAAATGTTTGTGGGTGATGTGCATTTGTTTGTATGTGTAGTGTGGGTGGGTATATGTATGTAAGTGTGAATATGTGGCATGTGTCTTATACTGGCTGGATTTGAGTGTCAACTTGATACAAGCTGGAGTTACCACAGAGAAAAAAGCCCCCCTTGAAGAAATGCCTCCATGAGATCCAGCTCTAAGGCATTTTCTCAATTAGTGATCAAGGGTGGGAGGGCCCATTATGGGTGGTACCACTCCTGGAGTGGTAGTCCTAGATTCTATTAAAAAAGCAAGTCAGTAAGTAACATCCCTCCATGACCTCTGTATCAGCTTCTGCTTCCTGACCTGGTTGTGTTCCAGTCCTGACTTCCTTTGGTGATGAACAGCAATGTGGAAGTGTAAGCTGAACTTGCTTCTTGGTCATGATGTTTTCTGAAGGAATAGAAACCCTGACTAAGACATGTCTGTATGTCTCTGTGTATGTGTGTGGCATACAGGTGTGTGCCTGAGTATTGTGTACGTGTGTGTATAGGTATGTATGTGGTGTGTATGGCTCAGTATTGTGCATGGGTGTCTGTGTGAGTGGTATATATTGCTGTTTATATTGTTTATGGGTGTGTATGTGTGTGTTAAGTCAATTGTAAAAGATAGTTCTCTCCTTCTATCATGTGGTCCCAGGGAGTAACTCAGGTCATGAGGCTTGGCAGCAAGTACCTTCCCTGCTGAATGATCTCTCCTGCTTTGCTTAAATAACTTCTGGATAAGAAATTTACATTAACACTATATGAGTCATTAGGACAATCATTGTCGGGTCACACTGAAATCTTAAATCAGAAAGTGATTCTGTTGCGTAAGTGGAAGGCAAACACAGAGATAGACTCCTACATATGTGAGCAGACTAACACTGCACTTCTGACTTGATTCTTCTTCCTGCCTTTAGAGAGTACTCTGAAGAATACTACATAATTTATATGTATATAGATTTATCATGGTCATAATAAAAAAATCGTTTATTTTATTAGTTTGGATATTAAACAGACAGGAATGATTAAAAAAAATCCAAAGTCTTTTTCTAACTGGGAATGGTAGATAATACCTGTAATCCTAACATTTAGATGGAGTCTGGAAGTAAAAAGAGTAGAAGTTCAAGGTAGCCTACCTACATAGCGAGTTGAAGCCCAGCCTGGGCTACAAATGAGACCCTGTATTAACAAAAGTAACAACAAAACAGCCCAGCTTCTTTCTACTCATTAAGAATTATGAAAAACAAGCAAAAGAGAACATGACACTGTGCTAGAACTGTAAAGCCCACCTAATCTGTTAACTCTGTAACACAAAACCAGTTTTAGTAGGCTTTTAGATAATTTCTAACTAACATCACATATACTAAAATGTAAAATGCTAGTTAGTTAGATAATGTATCTGTCCTCCTCTTCTAAATCATACAGAAAGGAATCAAAAGAACTTAGCTGAATGAATTTAATAGACAGTAGAACAAGATGAGTAAAGTAACATACTTAAGACAGCTGTTTCAACAGTCTTATGGGTAGATATTATTCTATATATAACACAGTTAGTTATACCTTCTTAGAATAATTCATGGATTTATTTATGAGATGAAATCTCATTATTCTAACCCAGGCAGTCTTCAAACTCATGATCCTCCTATGTTAGTCTTTCAAGTGTTAGAATTAAAAGCATGTGCCACCATGCCTGGCCAACACAGTTTATTTTTTGCCATTGGGAAGAAAACAAATTACAATTTTGTTAATTAACAACTTACTGGACTGAACCACTGCTTGCGTCTGTTCAGACGTTCCAGATGCAATGTTTGTCAAAGCCCACGCAGCTTCAAACTGTAAAGAAGGACTACCAAAGAACAAATAATTTTTTAAGCCATACATCTAATATCACCTAAATGTCTACCAACTATTTCTTCCCTCTAGTGTGTGAAACGCTTTTCTAGCCTTAAAAACATAACCCAAGCCGGGCAGTGGTGGCGCATGCCTTTAATCCCAGCACTTGGGAGGCAGAGGCAGGCGGATTTCTGAGTTCGAGGCCAGCCTGGTCTACAGAGGGAGTTCCAGGACAGCCAGGGCTACACAGAGAAACCCTGTCTCGAAAAACCAAAAAAAAAAAAAAAAAAAAACATAACCCAATCGTTTCACTCTGAAAGTCAGACATCCTTATTTAGACATGTACTTTCATATTACTCCTTAGTTTTCAACTACTTATCCTGCCAGTTTTCAAAGTTCACAAGTTAAAAATCATTTTCAAAACTGTTTTTGGTTCTTACCTTGATTTTAACTTTCAATTCTATCCCATAACCTTTTCCTTTCTTTTTTAAAGAAAATCTCTCTTGGGCTGGAGAGATGGTTTAGTGGTTAAGAGCACTGGCTGCTCTTCCAGAGGTCCTGAGTTCAATTCCCAGCAACCACATGGTGGCTCACAATCATCTGTAATGGGATTTGATACTCTCTTCTAGTGTGTCTGAAGACAGCAACAGTGTGTGTGTGTGTGTGTGTGTATTAAATATATATATGTCCTATTAAAAAAAAAAAAAAAAAGAAAGAAAAAGAAAATCTCTCCCTACAAAGCCTAGGCAGGCCGGAATTGAGGCTTCCTAACTTCTCAGATACACACATATATCATTATGCGTTTTTGGTTTCTGAGACAGGGTTTCTAGTGTCCAGATTGCCCCTGAACTCATTATGCTTAGCCAAAGATCAATTTGAACTTCTAACGCTCCTGCCTCCACTTCTTGAGCCTTTTCCCTTTAAAGATTAAACTAGAAAATTTACCTTTTCTAAAGGACACATTGTAATTGAAAATAATAATTATATACTTACTTGTCATCTCTTTCAAGACAATGAACTAAAATAGGCAATATTCCAGATTTTATTAAGTCATCAATTGGGGGATTTCGATCACTGGATAAAAGCTTCCTGTAAGATAGATACCACTTGTAAAACTTAATGACATATATTACAATTAAATTCAAACTGGATTATAGACCTTATAAATCTGAAGAGATGACATAAGTATACTTGCAAAGTTACTTATACTTTATATAATACAATGCTTTCTCTAATCATGAAGATCAACTAATAAATTTATAAATAATTAGAAAAATATGGTAGATACATTGCTACTTTTATTAACATAACACTATTCCCTCACCACAGTTCTAAATATGGCAACTATAAAAGACACCTTCTGTGTTTCAAAGAGGAAAATAGGCACCAGGCTTTTATTTTTTTTCTGGTTTGAATTCCAGAAAAACAGACTTTATCCTATTTTCCTCAATGTCTTCAGCATCTCTTTGAGTATTTTCTTATATTTCTGTACTTATTCCTTTTTAAGTTACTGAATAATAATTAATATTATGTTATAATTATAATATTTCATAATACTGTATAGAGTAAGAGTTGAACATTGTGATCATTTTAAACATACCACATTCAGTGTGTGTGTGTATGCATGTGTGTATTGTTTGCTTTTTAAAGACAGTTTCTCACTATGTAGCCCCAGCTGTCCTAGAGTTCACTTATGTAGACCAGGCTAGCCTCAAACTCACTATTCTGCCTCCTGGGTGCTGGAATTATAGGTGTGTGCCACCGTGCTTAGCACAACTAAAAATTTTTACATGTGTGATGTTCAGAGTTAATTTTAAGCTCAGAAAAAAAAGGTAGACAACCCTCAACATAACATTTACTTTGCTAGCTGGGCGGTGGTGGCGCACACCTTTAATCCCAGCACTTGGGAGGCAGAGGCAGGTGGATTTCTGAGTTCGAGGCCAGCCTGGTCTACAGAGTGAGTTCCGGGACAGCCAGGGCTACACAGAGAAACCCTGTCTCGAAAAAACAAACAAACAAAAAAAAAAAACAAAAAAAAAACATTTACTTTGCTAAAAAGCAAATTAATAGGTTTTCAAAATAACCACAATTATGCATACTGGGGCATGCAAAGGGTGGTATGTTTAAAGCGACCACAGTGTTCGACTCATCCCACTCTATACACTACTAATTACCATGAAAACCCAACAGCACTTTCATCTTAGGATCTCTAAAAAAGGAATAAATACAGCAATACAAGAAAATACTCAGAAGATGCTAAGAAAAAAAAAGATAAAGTCTGTTTTCATGGAACCTACAGGATAAAAATAAAAGCTTGTTGCCCATTTTCTTATGTGAGAGAGAGCAGGTTTAATTGTACTGAGTGTCCTAACAGAAATCTTCTCCTTATTGGAACTTGCTGTACAACTATATAACAATAAGGCTTAAGAAAGTCTAGTCAAGGGGTGGAGAGATGGCTCAGTGGTGAAGAGCATTGACTGTTCTCTAGAGGTCCTGAGCTCAATTCCTAACAACCACATGGTGGCTCACAACCATCTATAATGGATCTGATGCCCTCTTCTGTGTGTCTGAAGTCAGTGACAGTGTACTCACATCCATAAAATAAATCCTTAAAAGAAAAGTCTAGTCAGAACATCACCCTATTATTTATTATCTTAGGAATATAAAACTCCTTATCTTGCCTTTCAACTGCTTCATAAGGTGGCTGTACTTTACCTAACTATAAGCCTGGTTACCACATGATTTCATCTCTAAGCACTTTGTATTCTACTCTCTTCACTCCAAATGGCTTGCCATTATTTACATCATTACTTCAAAGACTGTTCAGGTTCCTTACTACGTCTCAATTCTAAGAATATGTGTCACAGCATAATCCCACACTTGCTGCTGCTCTCTACTACTTTTAAATAGCTCTATAGTTTCTATTAAATTCTAAAAAATTACTACTATTACTTTTTTTTTTAAGACAGGCTCTCATATATCTGACACTAGCTTCAAACTTGCTATGTGGTTTAAGGATGATCGTAAATTCTGTTCCTCCCATCTCCATCTTCCAAGAACTGTGATTATAGGTGTGTGATAATATACTACTTTAGCCCATGGGATACAATAATGGAGCAATTTTTCTATTTATTTTAGTTAAGGCAAACATATATAAGTAGGACATGTAATAAAAGACTCACACATTTGATAAAATCACATGGATCTGTGAACATTTTTGTCCTCTGAAATCTTATCAACTACAATCAGTAATTTGCTAAAAAGTTATTTTTGTATGAACAATCCTTCTAATTAATATACAAATTAATCATTTTTTTACAGTATAACCATGTTTTCCTCAATGTACTACTTAATTCAGAGATCTTCTTCAATAATAAACTCGGTGTGTCTGTGTATATATGTATGTCTGTGTGTGCATGTGTATTCATGTATGTGTGGATGCACATATATGTGAAAGCCAGAGGTCAACCTCAGAATCCACTCCTCGGGAGTCAGCCATCTTGTTTTTTAAACAGGTTTTCTCAGTGACTATGCTGACTAGTCAGGGGAGCCCCAAGGATATGCCTATTCTTCACTTGCAGTGCTAGGATTACAGGCCAGCACTACATGTCTGGCTTTTTACATGGGTTCTGGGGACTTAACATGGGTCTTCGTGCTTGCACAGAAAGTACTTTCTAGATTGAGCTTTCTCCTCAGCTCCTCACTAAGTTTTTTTTGGCTTTTTCCAAAAAAGTATGACAACAAGATTTCACAACTTAAATGTGAAAAATGACTTGGGATTTCTGGCCTTAAAACAACAACAGCGTATATGCAGCAATCTTAATGTATGCTTGTTTTACATGACACAGCATGCTTATAACTCAATTTACTATTTGACTAATAATGTAAGTACTGTTAGAAGACTTAGCTTCTAAATAGGAGTCTGAAAAACCTGAATTTGATCATTTAACTCACCTAGCAGCTTGAACTGCACTTAATTGAATTCCTTGGTTATCACTTGAAGCATTCTATAAAAAAATAAGTAAAAAAAATTTATCACATGGATACATAGTAATTAGTTATTTAGTTCAGAAAGTACAAAGAGAGGGGAATAAAACCCAACTTACTTGAACAATAGCTTCTAGAGAGGTATTTTGCTGGCAAGAAGTTAAAGAGAAAATCAAGTTAAAAGGTAATCTTTAAATACTGTGTTTATAGAAACTCTTTCACTAAAAGTTTTAGATGATCAGAGTAACATAACTTACCACTCTATAATCACCATCTATATCGGAGTCTTCACAGATATCTTCTTGTGGTACATTCCTTCTCTTTAAGAGATGTTCATCTCTTTTATTCTGTAAGAAAGAAGTCAAAGAATTTTAGAAAAGCAGTTAACTATTTTCATATAAAAGCAACCCTGTACCCACAAACTAAAATAAGTGCCTTTTAAAATTAAAAACACATGAAAAAAAAATTAAGTCAAACTGTGAAATACACACCAACTTAACACTAATCTGAATGGATTCCTATCACAAATATTCATTTCCAATGAATTGTGAACTACTGTAAATACAAAATAAAATAGTTTTATTAAAATGAATATTGTACAGTTTAAGTCAGAATCATAGTTTTATATATATAAAATATATACATATAATATATACATAAAACTCATAAGTACTAAGCCATTTTACACATCATTTGGAAGCATCTCTTTATCACCTCAAAACAAAAGTTGGGCAGTTGAAAACTAGGTAAAAATCAACAAAAATCAAGGATCATTTGAAATATACTGGAATCTTTTGGAGCAAATAAAAAATTATATTCAATTTTATTCTACTTTCATATTTTAAAAGTTGATAAAATATATAACAAATTACCAAGACAGAACTATTACCTATTAATAGAACTATTTAGTTTAAGAGTATCTCTATGACTTAGACTTTATATAAATCATTAAAACTTACAAAAATTAACTTGTTCATATCTATTATTGGGAAGTGAGTAAATTCTACTTTGCCACTATTTTCAGCAGCTTTTCAGATTTAGTTAAAACAACAACAAAACTTGTTTGAAAGAAAATGAAATGCTGATCACCTGAGATTGAAAACAAAAAGCTTAATTATATTTAATACAATTTCGTTATATAACAGGTTGTACAAAAGATATAATTCTTAATATTTTCTATATATGTTGTTCTTAGAACTATTTCTCAAAATACTAATAGCAGACCTACCTTCCGTAATTCAACTACAACTTCATTCCGTTGTCTTCTCATAGTCTACAAAGAATAAAAACACATATATTACCCATACTATCATCCAGAAAAAAAAAACCTCCTTTTTTGTTTCTACCTTTCTCTAATTTTCACCCCAAACTTCATTTTCTTATCTTTCATAAACATACTCTAACTCCATCTAAGTAAATGGTTGATCCATCCTTCCATTTGCACATATACAAAATCTAAAGCTATGTTTTCTAAAGCTATGTATGTATTATACAGTCACTTATGCAAAATCTTACTACCTTTCATTATCTCCTCTGAAAGTCTTCTGGCCAATTTATCATTATCTGTCTCCAAGATCATTGCAAATGCCTCCTAATACATGTCTTTCTTGTTAAAAATATTTTATATATTTTTTAAAATATTTTCTTTTAAAAAATATTTATTTTATGTGCATGTGTGCACATGCACACCTGAGTGTATATGTGTAGCACATGTGTAGAAGCCCAGGGAGGTAGGAAGATTGTATCAGATCTTTTAGAATTCACTGTAGTTAAAGGCAGTTGTAAGCTGCCATGCAAGTGCTAGAAACAGAACCTAGGTCCTTTGTAAGAGTAATAAGCAAGTGCTCTTAACCACTTGGGCTATCTCTTTGGCCCTCTGTCTTGCTCTTCCTTCCTAGCCTACTCTTATCAGAGCTTGTTATCTTTTGGTATAATATTTTTAAACAAACACACACACATACACAGAAAGGAAGAGAAAGAGAGAGAGTAGGAGGGGGAGGGAGAGGGGGAGGGGAGACGGGAGAAAGGAGAGGGAGGGGGGAGGGGAGACGGGAGAAAGGAGAGGGAGGGGAGGGGGAGGGGAAGGGAGAGGGAGAGGGAGAGGGAGAGGGACCGTGAGGGAGAGAGCACTTATACACGTGTCCAGGTGAGCAATATTAGCACATAGCATTTCCCAAGATGGATCAAGATTGTTTTTAGACTTCTGTACTTCAGTTTCCTAATCTACAAAATGGTAGGATAGGATTTTTTTCCTTCTATTTTTTTGGTAGGTGGATTTTTGCAACAGCATCTCGCTATGTATTCTTGGCTAGCCTGGAACTCACTGTTGACCAGGCTGGCCTAGAACTCACAAAGACCTGCTCTGAGTGCTGGGATTCTAGGCATGTGACACCACACTCAATGCGGCAAGCACTCTTATCACTGAGCTCTATCTCTCATACTTTTTTGCTTTTTATTTTAAGACAGTGTCTTACTTCCCAGAATAACTTGAACTCAACCAGGCCTACTCTGAAACTGTTTTTCTTTCCCCTCAGTCTTAGTAGTTGGGATTTACAGGGCCGTGTTACCAGACCCCACTTGGCCTACTTACAGTATGGCTTTACTTATTTATTACTTAGACACTTGCTGTGAGTTATCATTCCTATTATGCCTTCAGGTTGGAATGTTCTCCCCTGCCATCTTGCAGTGTTTTGACAACCCCCAACTACAATATTAATCCTTTCTCTCTATAAAATAACAAAGATAAGCATTATTTCTCAATTGTCTTAATTTTATTTGTGCAAAAAAACTTGGTCCCATTTTTAATCAAGTTATTCTGTGGTCTTCTGATTTTTCGTTACAGATAAAGATTTTAATAATACTGACTAAAAGCTGCTAACAAAATAAGTATTGCAAAATGAATAATCAGCTATGAAATACTAAGAGTTTTAAGATCTAGCATCTCATTTAAACATTACAACCTGAAAAAGAAATCTTTATTCTTCTTACATATTCATACAAATTTGAAAATTGAAGCTTGTATCACTAGCTCCAAAACAGAGGATTAGAATCCAGTATCCTACAAAGCCTCTTAGCAGCAAGATGTTTTCCAAACATCTGGAAGTAGAAGTCAAGCCAATTTGAGAATCTAAGGCTCATATTAAAGTAAAGGCTAAGCACTTTAGTAAAGCACTAAAGGTTAAGTTTCCATAATGTGAAAATCTGAAATTCAAAATCCTCTAAAAATCAAAATTTGGAATGTTGACATGTCTGAAATGATAAACTATATATATCACAAACTGTTTTATGCTCAAAATTATTTGACACATTATATAACTTTATCATTTAACTAATATATATTACATGAAATATAAATAAATTTCATGTTTGAACTTTGGTCTTATTTTAAATGTACACAAAATTTTGACACTATAAAGAAAGATATTCTGGCCTCATGCATTTTGGATGAAAAATATTCAACGTAACCAATAAGCTTTGCTTAACAAAACAACAACTCTATAACAAAAACTATGCTCTCATGTAGACTATTGTAACTCTAACATAAATTACACAAAGGACCATTCAAAAAGGTTAGTAAGACAGACTTCTGAGGGACAGAGGTATTAAATCCCTGAGAAGGTTTCATGAGTAACCACTGCACCTTAAAGAAGACAGGAGTGTAACAAACTTTACTTTCTTCACATTAATTCAAACTATTATATAAGCCCCTCCTATACTATAATATATTCTATTTATTAAAGTTTGAGGTTTTAATAATTTAAAATTAAAAATGAAAAACAAAATACCTCAAACTCAAGGCTGGCCTGGGCTATATAATGAAACCCTGTCTCAAAAACCAATTGATCTACTTGCCCCTACCAAAAAAGAGAGAAAACCATTAATAAGAATGGACTCAATTTCATAATGCAATAACATACAACTAGAACTATTGTTACCTACAAAAATTCTTTACAAAGTACAGTGTCTTTACTACAGATTAAGAGTTTAACTTCTCTTTTCCAAAATAAACCCTTTTATTTTCGAGGTCCTGTGAAAGAGTATATAAAGTTTCTTAGTTTCTTCATATCTTAGAATTCAGGCTTTGTATATTACATGTAGTAATGGTTGTGAATTCACAGAATTCACACTGCACTAGGCAGTGTTGTCAATTAGAATTCCAAAAGGCTACCAAACTCGCCAAAGGCTGATCTATAAACCACAGAGCTAAGCAAAGGATAAAGGGGATAAATGAGGGAGGGAAGAGGGAATACAATGTGGGAGGTTGCAGTTAAACTTAAGTTAAGAATTTTAAAATAGTCCATAATTTTTAAATTTGTCATAGTTACAAAATCTTAAATTGAAGCAAAAGAAAATAATTATAAAGTTTAAGCACTTGTTTTCTTAAAGAATTCAAAGTGTTATTTCTTTCTCAAAGGTATGCATGTTTTTTTTAATTTAAAAAATATTTTCCATGTTTATATCACTATGCTTGGGTTTTATTATGTTCTCTGCTCTTAACAGAATACAGGGTCTAATACTCTCCAATTAATAGTTACTTAATTTCCAGTTAGTGACTACCTAACTCTTGTTAATTTTCACTTTTTAACCAATATACCCTTCTCTGAATCTCTAAAATTAATGCAAGGTATAACATATTGTAAAAATTTTAGTATTTAATTTTTTCTTGGGCAAAACCAAGATTTATATTTATTAGAACTTATTCTCTTTAGAGAAAAAGCTTTAAAACATTTAAAGTTAGTTATATAAAGAATCAAGAAACTAACACTTTGATTTTATTTCATTCAGCATGTTACTCATACCTCAGGAAGGTTAACTTATGTAATATTAAAACAAATGAAAACAAAAATTTTAAATATTAAATCCAGGCAGAGGTGGCCCACATCTTTAATCACAATATTTGGGAGGCAGAGGCAAGAGGATCTCTGAGTTTGAGGCCAGCCTGCTTTATAGCATGAGTTCCAGGACAAAGAAACTATGTCTTAAAAAAAGAAGAGGCAGGGAGTGGGAAGACACATTTTGTGTATAGTGGAATACATTTTAATGGACTGTAAATAAAGCTACATTATTCAAAAATTGTTAACAACCGTCAAACTGTAGACTTAAAATTAACCAACTTTACATCTATTAAAAATATAACATATGTAAATCCACATACATATGCCTCCCCACCCAAAACAAACACACACACACACACACACACACACACACACACACACACACACACCATTATTTCTAACCTGTTAGAAAGGATTTATTTCACCAAGCATATTTACAAACACCTATAATATCAGTAATCTGGAATCAAGGCAAGGTGGCTTTTAAGTTGAAGGTCAGCCTAGGCTGCATAATGAGACTCTATTTCAAAAACAAAACAATGCCCAGCTACAGTCCATGAAAAGCTTATTAACCTTCTTTTGCTAAGTACTAAAAATACAAAGATGGACCAGATGCACTATATATCCATACCCTTAAGAAGGTAGTGTTCAGGCTAGTGAGATGGTTCAGTGACTATAATCATTTGCTATCAAGCCTAAGAACTTTAGTTGGATCCCTGGGATCCATATAATGGAAGTAAAGAATCAACCCTACAAGTTGTCCCCTGACATAAGTGATGTGCATGCACGTACACAATATAATAAAAACTTTTTAAAAAGATGGTTGAATTTTTATGACAGAGAAATATAGTTTGCAAATTATCAAGAAGACTTAACATTTAGCAAATACTGGGTGCTGTGTACCATGCAAACACGACTCAATTTTATTTACTTAATAAGTTCACACACACACACACACACACACACACACACACACAGGATTGTTGTAGTACACACAGTTAAGGTAGAACAATTTCCAGCTCTAGAACACAGTAACATCTTTAAACAGAAACACAAACATAAGGACAACAGGAATACTTGTTTTGGTTTGGTTCTTTGGGACAGCATCTCACTGTGTAATCTTGGCTAGCCTCAAAATCCTACGAAATTCACCTGCCTCTTCTTACCCAGTGCTGTAATTAAAGGTTATCCATGCCTGGCCTAAAAGGTAGATACTTAAAATGACAGATAAGCTTAATTCTTTACCAAATAATTTAGATGAAGATGATCCAAACATATATATGTATGTATCTATGTTATATACATACATGTACATATTTTTATTATTATTAACTATTATTATACAAAAAAGAAGCTAAGATAAAATAAGGCATACACAGCCAAGAATGGTGTTACACACTGTAATCCCAGCACTGAAGAGGCCAAGAAAGCAAGATAT